AGTTTTGTTTGTTCATTAATTTTGTTCTTTAGATTCTACATATAATGAAATCATATGTCATACAACTATTAAGTCAGGACTCAAACTCAGGTCTCTGAGTTCTAAAACCTGTACTTTTTGCATTAAACCTGCTACCTCATTGTCACTTCTACTGGGTGACAATGGGGAACATAGACCTGCTTGAAAATTATGACTCCGTACCTAAGCAGTATCACTAAAGTAAAATAAAGCAAAAAATGTAAGGCCACTTTGAACCACGACTGGGTTACTGTTTTATAGACCCCTTTTCAGGGTATGAGTGCCATCTGCTGGAAGGTTATAATGTATTATTATGTGCTTGTAAAGACTGGCTTCCAAAAGGCCTGTCACAAGTGTGGGGGGAAAAGTGTCAGGTTTCAAAATGCTAATTCTTAAATTTCAGTTTAGGAATACTGGGGAGTTTCAGTTTAGGAATATTGGGGAATTTTGTAGTTAAGTAAATCTATTTACCATAAAATACACTGCTTCATTTATTTTCATTTTTGGTGGTATGGGTGGCATAGGGTTTTAAAAAAAATGATAAGCTCAATGCTTTCTTAAATGGATCATAGTTTTACTTGTAACAGATCTAATAAAAATAGAAAATTTGATTTACTTTGAGATAAGTGAGTTATTGAAGTATAAGAGGACTCTCCATTCAGATACCCTAGAAAAGGAATCTGGAACCCATGGGGACATCAGAGAACAGAAAATGGGAATGAAAGTGGAGGAAAATGTGCAGATAATTACACAAATGGATTCTGTAAATGTTAATCTATCACAAGGCTCCCCAAATTCAGTCAGGATCCTAAATAGTACTTTAGAGGAAAAAGTTTAGGATTGTAACTTTAGATATTATATATTCAGGACAGTGAAAATTAGACACTTTTTATAGTCAGTTAAATACCCTGAATGGGAATCAGATAAAACTTTGGCATGTTCACTGTACATTCTTTCTTAGGCTCCTCTGGGATCACGTTAGTACTCTGTGAATATCTGGCACAGGAAATGTTGTCATTTAGTGTGGGATTGTCCAAGGAAAATGATGCTATACTTAACTCCTGTTTAGATGTGATTAAAACATATTTATAGTTGTATGATGTCATATTGAACAAATATTTGTGTGACAAGAGATTAAAGTCCATTGGTGAAATAAAGAATTAAGGAAAGTAGCAGTCTGATCATCTCCTTTCTTTGTGTAACTGCCTGAGAAGCTGTGATAGTGCAATGATATCTTATCTCAGCAGGTAAATTTCTGGAGAGAAAGGACTATCTTTTGGGGTGTGTGTGTAAATTATAAGAGTAATGCTCATTGTAGAAAACTTGTAAAATATAAAAACAGAAAGATCACACATAATCCCACCACTCAGGTAACTATATTAATGTCTTACTAAATTTCCTATTTTATAAACATTTATATTTTGTTGTCTTTTTATATTACATCACAAAATTATAGCCCAAGTCTTTTCTAATGGATCTAAAAACTTCCTCAGCGTATATATTTGAAGCTACAATATGTGGTTATACCGTAATTTACTTAACAGTTTTCTTATTATTGAACACTTATATTGTTTACTGTTTTTGTTTCTTCAGTAAATAGTGGTAAGGGAATTTACTTTTTAATTTTTTTGTTTTAGTGAGTAGGGGTAAGGACTCTAATTTTGTGTGGAAGTTGTTTGGGGCCTAACATTTTATGAGTACACCAGCCTTGAAAGTAACCAGTGATTGGATTAATATCTGCTTTAGTTCCTCAGGTGTGTTCCTCTTGGTCCCTTCTTCCTGTATATAATTTTCTCTAGGATTTTGTAGCATTTATTGGATTCACAGCCCTTTCAGGAAATGCCCTCATAGTACCCAGGTTTCAGTTTCTACATACACCAGGTTAAATATCTCACCCTGAGCTAGTTAGAGCTATGTTTCTGCTCTTTACTTCACACCATCACATTTATGAGAGACAGTAGAACAGTGGTTACCAGGGGCTGGGAAAAGGGATATGTTTAAGGTACAGAGTTTCAGTTTGAAATAATGAAAAAATTCTGGAGAAAGGATAGAAAGGCTAGTGATTGTTGCATGAAGTGTCAATGTACTTAAATGCTACTGAAGCATATACTCAAAAATGGTTAAAATGGTAAATTTTATGTTATGTATATTTTACCACAATAAAAAAAAGGTGACCTAGAAATACCATGCAGCTGGAAGAACTAGAAAGATTTCTAGTACTAATATTTTACTGATATTGAGAGATTTCCAAGATTAAGTAAAAAAGGTAAAGTGCTATCTTTTGTGTAAATAAGGCAGGCAAAAAAATATATTTATATATTGTTTGGATAAAGAAATACAGGAAGGATTAGCAAACAATTAATAAAAATTGTTATCTAGGACAGCGATTTTCCACCGGTGTGCTGCAGAAATTTTAAAACATGCAGTACCTGCCTAGTCAGGGGCACTGACTCTTTTCCCTTAGATTGTCAAATAAAAGAAAATGACAACAGCCAACACAACAGTAGGCATTTGGTGTGAATGAATCAAAATTATACCTATTTTTTTTGTCAGATCAACAAAAAAAAATATACCTTTTGGTGTGCCACAGATTTTTATTAGTGTATGTGTGTCATGAGATGAAAAAGGTTGAAAATTGCTGATCTAGGAGGCAGGAGGGACTGAGGTCACTGGGAGCAGAAGTGGTAATAAGACATCTCAGTCTGTCCTTTTATATAATTTTGAGTTTTGAGCCATGTAAATGTATTACCTATTCACAATAATGTGTACACTGGGGCTTAAGGTAGACTCACTGTAAAGGTATCAACAGACTATAATTATAGAAAACATAATTTTCTAGAGGTATTGATTACATGTTGCTCCATGTGATAGCCTCTCTCCCAGACATGTGGGGTTTAGGCTCTATGCTAACATTTGGTGTTTTAATAGCCTGGTTTAGATGCAGAAGTGAGTTTCAACTTCCCTTCCATTGCAGGCAGCAAAGAGAACATATTTTGGGTAGAGACTTAAAGTCAAACTGTCTAAGTTGACCAATGCCAAAGAGTCAGAAAGAAAGGGCGAATAGTTGTGCCTAGAGCAAGGCCTCTTACCAGGATCCAAGTACTGCAAGTGGGGTCATTAAACATGCATAGTACTCTACTGAGTCTGGGAGCCAAAAATATTCAAAAGCAGAAAACTGAGTAAACTCTGCATCCCTCCAAAATGTCACTGTCTTTGATTCAATCATCAGTTAGGAGCATTTTATGTTTAACATTTGCATCTGAAGCAAGAAGTAGGGTTGCTTAACATTTCTTAGGCAGTGGAAACAGAAATAGAAGCTGATAGCTGAACCAACATCCATCTAATCACCCCTGTCTCCCTCCCACCAAGCGAGGACTATTAGATCTTCCTTGGTCATTTCTCTTCCAGTTCCTTTTCCCCACTTAGATCCACAGGAAATACAGAGACTAGCTGTAAAAAGTGGATGGCTGGCTAGGTGCAGCCCAGCTTATCCCAGCTATTAACCTCTTAGCCTGTGTTCCAGGGCACGTGTGCTGGAGGAAGAACCCAGGGAGTCATTTTCGGGAATCCTGTTCAGATCATAGATGATAGGACACTTTCCAGCAAGGTTGTCAAGGTGTAGGTGAAGAGAAAGAGCTGAGGTGCAGAGCCAAAATGAGAGAATTGAGAACTAGGAAATCTATCATTGAAAGTAGTAAAGAATTAGGCAACTGGGAAATAGTCTATAAAAGTTCCCTAGGATGGAGTTTAGAAGATATTTTTTTTACATGTTTCCAGCACAGGCACTTAAGGTATGCTTTACTCATTTAAAGTTACTAGAATGGATAAGCAGTTCATTTTTTTCTGCCTCGTTGATCTGTCTGTATGTTTTCCTCACTACGTTCTGGGCTTTGAAGACACAAACTTCAGCCATAGTGGAGAAAGCATGGACTTAGGAACCAGGCAGATCTGTTTAAAAGCAAATCTCTTCTCTTTCTAGGTGTTTGGTTTTGGTCAAGGTATTTTTATTATACTGAACATCAGGTTCTGTGTGCATCATAGGGTTGTTATAAAAGATTAAATGAGAGAAAACATTTATGTATAGTCATCTTGCACATAGAAAGTATTCGATAGAAGTTTTGTTCTCCCTTTTTTGTATCTTCCATAGAGTTTTAGATTTAAAAGGAATTCAATATATTATTCAAATTGAGTATGTTTCTCTGTACCTGTTAAATCTGAACCCTAGTTAAGGATAGTCTGAGACAGGCATATTTATCGGGCTCTTACTTTGAGCAACTAATGTTATTGTTGTTAAATATTTAATGAAGCATCTGCCTCTTATATATGTGCCAATGCTAACTTTTCACTTGCTGGTTTGGTCTGTCTTTCCTTGTCATTATCGGAGTCCATCTTGTAGCTTCTATTTTGTGAAGTCCTATTCCTTTGCTCTATTTATAGGACCATTTCACACCAATTTTTATCAGTGGGTATGAGAGTCATTCCCTTATACTCACTACTTTTCTAAAAACTGAAGGACTACACGCTCTACACATGGATGAGTGAAGGACTTGTTAAATTATCTTTCCTTCTTTTGTCAAATATTTATTGAGTATATTCTGTCTAGGGTGGATATAAACAATGTTATTACACAATTCCTGCCTCTCAAGAAGCTTTTCTTATAGTAAAAAAAAAATGCACATATCAAAATATATTTAATTATTTTGTGATATGATAATACTTTTGTTTAGTATTTCACATTTTACCATTTTAAAATGGCCTCATTTAAAACGCACACACACAGAAAATGGATTGGAAAGATATGCACCAAGATGTTGACAGAGCTTATCTCTGAGTAATGGTATTTTTGAGTGGTATTTTTTCTTTTATTTTGCTTCTCTGGATTGTCTAAACGTGCAAAAATTGCATTTTGAAGTTATAAGAAATTCATCATTCTCCCCTCCCTGCTAACAGAATAGTGACTCATCTCTTCCTCTTGCCTGCAGCTTTTGCGAGAATTGAAGCACCCCAATGTGATCGCATTGCAGAAGGTGTTCCTTTCTCACAGTGACAGGAAGGTGTGGCTGCTGTTTGACTATGCAGAACATGATTTGTGGGTAAGCCTAGAATCACTTTCTTTTTAGAACTTTTATATAGGAACGTAGAAATAAATGGATGCACTACCTATTACTAATTCACACAAGGGACAGCTTGCTTTGTTGATCGTAGTTCAAAACAAACATAAATATAAATGAAGATTTAAAAGAATTTGAGCAATACACATGATCATCTTATTTTACTGAGAAGATAGTATTTGTAATAACCAGAAATTTCACTTCCCACAATGCCAATGAGTGGGAGATTGTACTTTTATGCAAGTAATTAATGGTAGTTTACTAATACGTCTAGTGAATTTTGCTCTCTTTTGTGGTACACACAGTAGTTCAAATTTAAGGAATTATGTACTTATAAATAGTTTGTTTCCCTTTCTAAGATAAGGTTAACTTCTTTCAGCATCTTCTCATTTAAAACCAACTCCTCCAAATAGAAGTATGTATATAGTTTTACAAATATTAGGGATGTTTTATCAATATATAATGGAAGACAAAAAATTCTAATTCCAATTCCAAACTTTTAAAGTTAGGATTCAGGGCATTTAAATATATTATCTGAGGAGCTTCTAAAAGTAAAAAAATTCAAACTTAGCAGTAAGTTCAAATTTTGGATAATAAAATTTTGACTTAATATAGTGTGGTTTGTCATATATGTCAGTTACAAATCTGTTTAGGAATAACTTTAACAACTTATGGGTCTTGAAGTAACTTTCAGAGTTAATGCTATTACTGCAGATATTGATAAGAACCTCCATTCTTTTCCTCTATTCTTTTCATGGATATTCAGTACCCATTTTGGCATGTTATGGACAGGGCTGGGGTGGAGAGGAAGGTGGAGATGGTGGTGTGGGAGGCAAGTAGAATTTCATTCCTGTCACTCAATCTTCTATAATAATAAAAGCGTAATATGCTAATTAGACCGGATGGCTGAATGACCTCCCGGACATCCTTTCGGATGACCTTCTGGACGAAGCCGGGGCTGCAAGGGCTGAGCTCCTTGCATGAATTTCGTACATCGGGCCTCTAGTACTTTTATAATACACAATATGACATGTGGACATAAAAATTGGATTATGATGATCCAATTTATTTACTTAAAAAGTAAATTCCCATTTTTCTCTCCTCCTTTCTTTCCAGTAACTATTAGAAATATCTCCTAATTTCATTATGTGCCAAAAGAAGATGGAACTTTGCAATTCAAATATACATTGCCCTGACCGGTTTGGCTCAGTGGATAGAGCGTCGGCCTACGGACTGAAGGGTCCCAGGTTCGATTCCGGTCAAGGGCATGTACCTTGGTTGTGGGCACATCCCTGATGGGGGGTGTGCAGTAGGCAGCTGATTGATGGTTCTCTCTCATTGATGTGTCTAACTCTCTATCCCTTTCCCTTCCTCTCTGTAAAAAAAAATCAATAAAAATATTTTTTAAAAAAAGAGGAAAAAAACCCCCAAAAAACAAATATACATGTAGTCAGTGTAATACTCAAATGCACTATGTGCTAACTTTTTATAGAATAGTAAAGATTTACAGTTTTTCTTCTCTTTAATCTTTCATTTTGTCAGTAGAGACTCTAACTAGTACTAGTTTTAAGTAGGCTTTTAAATATCAACCCTTTTGAACCCTTTGGTCCTATTTAATGAAAATCTTAGTGATTTCTGTAAATCTAGTCATTATACCCCATTAAAACTGTCACATTCACCCCCAATATCAATTCCATTTTATTGGTTGGCCTTGTTATTAAAATTATTGTTCTTTGTGCCATTATTGGCCTTTAATAAGTATTTTTTAAAATATAGAGAACTTATTACAGTCTTATTTATGTATTATTGACATAGACAAAGACTATGTATTATTACAGTATTTTTTTTATTTTTAGCATATTATTAAGTTTCACCGTGCATCAAAAGCAAATAAAAAGCCCATGCAGTTGCCAAGATCTATGGTTAAATCATTACTTTATCAGATTCTTGATGGTATCCATTACCTCCATGCAAATTGGGTGCTTCACAGAGATCTGGTAAGTATGTTTATTTAAAATTAATATGTTTTCCCCCTTTCTTTTAAAAGATATACTTTTTTCTTGCTACAATTACGATAAACATTAATTATAGAAAATTTTGAAAATAAGCAGAAAGGAAGAAAAGAAAAGCCATTCATAAACCTATGATAAAAATTTACCATTATTAACATTTGGTGTATGTTCTTCCATTATATGTATGCATAGCTATAAAATATCAGTGTGATTTTCAACAAGCAATTGGTATAATGTTAATGGGATAGTCATATGTAAAAAAAGTACCTTTTGATCCATTTTGTTTTTTTCATTATTGCTCATCATTAGTAAAAACATTAATAATTAAAAACTAAATTCTCATTGTTTTTTTTCTTATGAGCTAAACTGAAATAATGACATTTCATCCAGTAAATTGAATGTTGTTATTGATATTCACAATAAATAAATGAATAAATCTCAAAGGTGGAATGCATTTATTAGGCTAATTAGCCACAATTCAAATCTTTGATTTTACTTTTGTATTCAGTACACATAAAGCAAACACTTATTAATGTCAAATTATATGCCATTCATCTTTGCATTGTTGTCATTTTTAATTTATGTTGTTCTTGAGAAGACAATGGGAACTAAATAATTGTAATACCCATGAGTTTATAATTGGAAGTTTTATTTTGCCCCCCACAAAAGTCAATTCATGATAATTTATTTCTTAGGTTTTTGGAGATGCTAGGTATATGGTAGGTATAAATCTAGGTCAACTCAGTTTTATTAATTGAGGATAAATACTTATTATAGAAAGGAATAAATACCAGTACACAAAGAGACCTAGTTAAGACCCCTTGCTACTTTGTCAGTCAGTCAGTCAGGCCTGTTCATCTGACTTGACCATTCAGACACATTGTACCTCAATTTTAAACTGGAAGGTTCAGAGACTTTCACATATCCACTTTACTATTAACCATGAGTCAGCATGGTTTTGATTCTTGGGTTTGTGAGGTTGTTCTTAGATTAAAGACCTCCTACATGAATGGTTTTAGATTTTAAGTTGTAATAATGTAATCTATGTGAGATATTTTTGAGGTCACAGCCATTTTTGAATCATCAATCAGAATCCTTTATTGACGATTAACTAATTTCAACTCATTTCCTTTTTTCACAAAATTGTATTCAGGCATACCTTGGCGATATTGCGGGTTTGGTTCCAGACCACCGCAATAAAGTGAATGTTGCAATATAATGAGTTTTTGTTGTTGTTTCCCCATTGCATATAAAAGTTATGTGTATACTATAGTCTGTTAAGTGTGCAATAGCATTATGACTAATGAAAAATGTACATACCTTAGTTTAAAATATTTCATTGCTAAAAATGTTGTTCATCATCTTAAGCCTTCAGTGAGTCCTAAATCTTTTTACTGGTAGAGGGTCTTGCCTCAGTGTTGATGGCTGCTGACTGATCAGAGTGGTGATTGCTAAAGGTTGGGGTGGTTGTGGCAATTTTTAAAAATAAGACAAAAGTGAAGTTTGCTGCATTGACTCGCTCCTTCTTTCACACATGATTTCTCTAGCATGTGATGCTGTTTGATAGCATTTTACCTACAGTAGATCTTCTTTCAAAATTGGAGTCAGTCCTACCAAACATTGAAGCTGCTTTATCAATTAAGTTTAATCTTTCATTTTATCAGTAGAGAATATATCTAGTAGAGAATATAACTATTCTAAACTCTTTTTGTCATTTCAACAGTCTCAATTTCATCTTCACCAGGAGTAGATTCCATCTCAAGAAACACTTTCTTTGTTAATCCATATGAAGCAACTCCTTATCCATTAAAATTTTATTATGAGATTATAGCAATTTAGTCATATCTTTAGGCTCCACTTCTAGTTCTCTTCCTTATTTCTATCATATCTGCAGTTACTTCCACCACAACTTGGTTGTTTGGCACAGGAGGCCTAGTTTTTGATGTATCTTGGCTTTCAACATGCCTTCCTCACTAAACTTAATCATTTCTAGCTATTGATTAAAGTGAAAGACATGCAACTCTTTCTTTCATTTTAACTCTTAGAGGCCATTGTAAGGTTATTAATTGGCCTGATTTCAGTATTGTGTCGCAGGGAATAAGGAGGCTGAGGAGAGAGAGAGATAGGGAAATGGTCTGTAGGTAGAGCAGTCAAAACACAACATTTATCAATTAAGTTTGCCATCTCATATGGGAGTATTTTGTGGTGCCCTCCCCCAGCTTATAATAGTAACATCTAAGATCACTGATCACAGATTGCCATAACAAATCTGTACTAATAATAGAGGAATATGCAAATTGTCTAGGACGCCATCACAGTAACAGTAATGACTGAACAGCAGGCTGCGTGGGGCGACCAGGCCAGCATGGGGGATAGTTGGGGGTGACCAGGCTGGTAGGGGGGCAGTTGGGGGTGATCAGGCTGGCAGAGGGGGGCAGTTAGGGGCGATCAGGCCGGTGAGGGGAGGCAGTTGGGGGTGACCAGGCTGGCGGGGGGGCAGTTAGGGGCAACCAGGCAGGCAGGCAGGTGAGCAGTTAGGAGCCAGTGGTCCCGGATTGTGAGAGGGGTGTCCAATTGCCGGTACTCAGATATCCTCTGAGGAGTCCTGGATTGGAGAGGGTGCAGGCTGGGCTGAGGAGACACCCCCCCTCCTGCACAAATTTCGTGCACTGGGCCTCTAGTATACTAATAATGAAAAAATTTGAAATAATGCGAGATTACCAAAATGTGACACAGACATGAACTGAGCAGATGCTCTTGAAAAGATGGCATCAGGGAGAACCAAGATGGTGGCATAGGTAAACACCAGTACTTACCACCTCCCACAACCACATCAAAATTACAACTGAAACACAGAGCAACCATCATTCAGAACTGCCTGAAATCTGGCTGAATGGAAGTCCAACAACTAGAGAAGTAAAGAAAACAGATTGAAACTGGTAGGAGGGGCGGAGGTCCGAAATGGCTTGGTCCAACACCCACGTGTGGTGTTTTTTTTCAATCAGGAGAGATATCTCAGCTGCAAATGCCTCCCATGAGGAGCAAGGGGTCCCAGCCCCACACCAGACCCCCAGCCTAGGGTTCTAGTGCCATGAGAGAAGCCCCTGTAACTTTGGGTTATAAAAATCGGGGATTGTAGCTGAGTGACACACAGGCTACTGGAGACTCAGGCAGTTCACTTAAAGGGTCTGCACATGAACTTACATGGTCCCACTCCCTCTGAACTCCAGCACTGGGGCAGTGGCTTGGAGGGATTTAGGGACATATGGGGAGGAACTGGATTGTCTGGCATTGGAACAAGAACTCAGGACTGGCTCTCTCCCAGACAGTGGTGCTCCCAGGGGTCATTGTTTCTATGCTGAGACCTCCCCCATTGCAAGCTGACTGGCAGCCACATCTAAGTTTCCATCAGCTTAGCTCACACTGTTCACTCCACCTTGGTGATTTCCTGAGACCATGCCCCATCCAATTTGTAGCCCCACCCAATCTGTTTGCAGCAGCTTTTCCATATGAATGGCCTGTCCTGGCTCAGTCTTCAGATTTTTCTAAAATTTCTCAAACAAGCAGCAGCTGGCATCAGCAAGACTCGGCACTAGCAGTAGCCTGCCTTGCTTTACAGTTTGGCCTCGCCTGGGCACTTCCAAGCCTAACACAAGTAGCAGCCATTTGCAGATAGCTCTGTAGCTCCTGCCAGGTGGCCCTAGTCACTGGCTGACTTTGCACTGCCTGGGAGGCCCCAGAGCCAGTGCATCCAGTGGACAACTTCAGACCATAGCAGATTACAACTCTACACAGCCATGAGTGACACACTCAAGGAGCAGACTCAGTGAACACCAAAGCCCCACTGAAGCAAGTCTTACTCCATAGGGGTGCCTCCTGCATAGCAGCTCTTCCACTATAGTTGTAGCTAGTCCTCACAGCCATTTGGCCTGGAGGTCAGCTCCTTCCAGTAACATCAACAGCAATCAAGGCTCAACTACAACAAGACTGTGCACACAGCCCACACAAAGGCACACCTAGAGTGCCCCTCAGGTGACTGGGGAGGCTGAGCCACTGGCCCCCCAAGACACCTACTATGCAAGGCCACTCTACCAATTCCAGGAGACATAGCAGCTCTACCTAATACATAGAAATAAACACATGAAAGCAGCCAAAATGCGGAGACAAAGAAACATGTCACAAATGAAAGAACAGAAGAAATCTCCCAAAAAAGAATAAATGAATTAGAAGCAAACAGTCTAATAGATACAGAGTTCAAAACAATGGTTAAGGGTGCTCAAGGATCTTAGTGAGAACTTCAAGGGACCTAGTGAGATTTTCAAAGATCTTAGTGAGAATTTCAAAGACATGAAAAAGGATCAGTCAGAAATTAAGCACACACTAATGGAAATAAAAGATAATTTACAGGGAATCAACAGTAGAGTAGAGGATGCTGAGAATCAAATCAACGACTTATAATATGAGGAAGCATAAAAAACACCCAATCAGAAGAGCAAAAAAAATGAAATAAAATAAAAAAATATGAAAATAATGTAAGGAGCCTCTGGGACAACTTTAAGCATACCAACATTTGCATTATGTGGGTGCCAGAAAGAGAAGAGAGAGAGAGCAAGATATTGAAAACCTATTTGAAGAAATAATGACAGAAAACTTCCCCTACCTGGGGAAAGAAGTAGACTTACAAGTCCAGGAAGTGCAGTATGTCCTAAACAAGAGGAACCCAAAGAGGCCCATACCAAGACACATCATAATTAAAATGCCAAAGGTTGAAGACAAGGAGAGAATCTTAAAAGCAGCAAGAGAAAAGCAGTTAGTTACCTACAAGGGAACACCCATGTGACTGTCAGCTGATTTCTCAACAGAAACTTTGCAGACCAGAATGGAGTGGCAAGAAATATTCAGTGACGAATAGCAAGGTCCTACAACCAAGATTACTATATCCAGCAAAGCTATCATTTAGAATTGAAGGTCAGATAAAGAGCTTC